CAAAAGCTTATACTCCTTGCAATCATCATCTTCAATATCTTGATTTTCTTCATTTTTTGTCCTAAAAATTATACACACCTTATTTTTCATCTTCATCTTGATTTAAACCTCCACCATCTTTATTGTTTTTATTTTCTTTTTTCTTTATTAAATTTGAAGTTGTATCCACAAACAGACTATTATTCCTATTTGGTTATATTTTTAAATACTCAAAAGCAGTCTTATGTTCTAAAAAATCATCATAATTTTTTATAATTTTTTTTATCCAAATATATTGGCCTATATGCTTCAATTTTTTTATAATATTTAACAATTACACATTTTGTATCTTTTACATTAAATTTGAACATCATAGAATTTGATACCATAGCATGAGAAATATATCTAAAAGTCTTTATATGTAAAAAGCAAGGTTTTTTTGTACTCCATATTTTTTGTAGAGTCATTGACATAAATGAGCTTATAAGATACATATTTTTTCAATATACTACATTCTCCATATCTTCTCATCAAAATTCATACTGAAGATGTTGAACATGAAGCATATTCCTTACTATCTTTATAATACTTTGATTTTGATTTTGATTTTATAATTCTATCTTTTTTTAGAATATAAAAAATTAAGATTTATCTTATAATATCTTAAATCTTTAAAAAATCATAAATTTTCTTTTAAAAATATTTATTTTTATTATTTGTATAAAATATCTTAATCTTATAGTAATATTCCTTTATAAGTGTCTTAAATTTCTTAAAACTTAAAAACACTCATTTTTAGCTATGAGAATAAAAATCTATAATTATTATTAAAAAATTATCAAAAAATGTAATAAAGTACCTTGCTCATCTTATTGATGGCATCATCATAGGTCTACAAACATCCAAATGCATAATCTCTTATAAGTTGCTTATGTGTATTAATACTCTAATTAAAAATGAAACTTTTTATTATTTGTTTTAAATATAACCTTCATAAACTAGAGACATGAAATTATTATATGATTTACTAAGATTCAAGCTACTTACAATGGATTGGAGTTTCTTTATGATTTTGATACTAAGATAACTAGGGTGTCAATGCCAAATGCCAAATTTATCTTAATTTAGTAGATACTCAATAAAGGCAATCATTTTAGTCCCATTTATTTTTTGCTTTAAAAATAGAAGTTTTTATTAACATATTTTCTATCAAATATCTTTATAAAACATCTATTCATGCTAAAATGAACCTTAAAGCCATGTAAAATAAGTTTGTTTATCAAAAAGAGGCTTTTCTTCATCTTTGGTAAATATAAGATGTCTTTTAATCTAATCCTCTTAGTTTGGCTTTTTACAACAATGTCTACCATAATAGAGCCTATTTCAACAGCTTGTACTATGACATTGTCTTCCATCAAAATTCTTATTGCTAAAATTTCTTTATAAGTGTTAAATATATTTTTTTTATACTATCATGTACTTGGTAATACCAAAATTAAAAATCCATGTGGATACAACAACTTTAAAGGTACCTTCACTTCCTATGAATACATAATCATCTCTTCTATAATTGTCACATATATTGTTAATATTTTCTCTTTTCTTCTTGGACTTATAGCAATTTTGTACAAAGTAATCTGATTTTTTACAAAAGATACAAGTTCTCATATTGCTACATTGATTAGAATAGTTTCATTTTTCTTACCTTAAAAAGAAGGCTAAATCTTCACTTTAATATTCTTTTCCTATCTTTTTGGTGACTTTATCATTAAGTCTTGCTATTATATAATCTATTATTAATTTGATGGACTCTAATGTAATAATAAAGTGATTGTAGAACTTGAAAAGACTTATGAATAAGATCATGGCAATATCACCATCTTTGAAAGATTTATTAATAATTGTTAATTGATTTGCAAGAGCCTTAACTTTATTGACATGAGCTATAATATCTTTACCTTCTTTTATCTTGCTTCTAAAGAACTTTTTCTTTTTGAAGAGAGTCTTAAAAAGGTTCTTATTTTTATAAAAGTTACAAAGAATCTTCTATGCTTTAGTTAGTTTTTTTTTAAAGAATGATAGAAGAGAAATTGGCTCCATCTAAATTAGTGGCAATCATGCAAATAGTTTTTTTTTCATGACTTTTAAAGTTCTTCTCTCTTATATCATTATGCATGCTTGAAAAGTCTTTACTTTTATCTATAATATTATAAAGATCTAAAGAAGTCAATAAATAATTTCTATCTTTTTACTTTTACGTCCATCATTAGATATATCAAAAATATTTTTTAGCATCTCACCTAATATAAGGATATCATTTGACATATACTTTAAAATCTTTTAAACATTTTTAGTAGATTCTTTATATTCATTACCATATCACTTAGTCCTTGATATAGTGTCTTTTTCATAGAATGGCCCTTCTACATTCTAAGAGCTATTTTTTTTTTTATTACTAACAACTTATCTAAAGAAATAATTTTTTAATGGTAATTTATTTTATTTTTGTTATTATTTACTTTAAAAAGAAGCTATTATTGAATAAGAAATGGTGATGGAATGTAATAGAATTGTAGTAGTCTTTGAAAGAGGCTTTGATAGCAATTTGAATTATTGAGCCTAGAGATGGTTTTGTGTGGTTGTTGGTTGTTTATACAATATCCTTTGTATTTGAATGATGTTTTAGGATCTTATTGATATTTTAGACTTAGAAGAACTTCAGCTTTGAAAAAATCATCATCTCCTATCATTGATAAAGTCTAAATTCATTACACTAAACTTTTAAGATTAAATCCTTTTTAGCCACATAGCTTTTTACTATTTTAATTGAAATTTACCATTACTTCTTTTATATCTCACAACTTTATTATAATATCTTATCATTGCTTGATTTTTATAATTTTGTGTATTTAAATTAAAGACATCTTATCTCATCATAAATTATTATTGCTAATATCTCTTTATTGCCAAAACTAATAAATTTACCTACACTTGAAAAGCTCTTTGATGCTTTATAAATTAGAATAAAGAATCATGTGGCATTAAGTCTTCTTAATTTGGTGCTACTTTAATCTAGTTGTTGGAATCTATTGTGATATTTTAATGCAACTTTGCAAGTAAGAATAAAATTATACAATTAGAGTATGCAAAAAAAAAAAAAAAAAAAAAAAAAAAACTATATAATTAGAATAAAAATATTTCTACTAAAATTTAAAATCTTATTAGCATAATAGCTAAGATAAGATGGTAGATATATGCTTTGTTGTGTGCAACAATGGCCTTTTTATTGGCATCAAAGATATAGCTGTTAAAAATTTAAACAAAGTTGTGGAATTAAATGCAACCAATGAAGTCTTATATGCAATAACTTAAAATTTTAGTTTATCAAATATACTATTTATAAGGAGAACCTTACTAATATGGTTAATATTATTGCAATGGCTATCAAATTTCACCTATATAAATATGTCTTGTTCCTTATCTTACCACCAAAATCACTTCTAATGATTTTTTAATTTTTTAATTTTTTTTAATTTTTTTATTATCTTATTATATTCTTTGTTGTGGTTTTTTTTTTTTCTTGAATGCCTACTTTGCTAGTCTTATAGATTTAGTAGTTATAGATGTTGATTGTAAAATCTATGGTGTTCTTGATAAATATATATATATATATATTAGCAGAAGTAAAGATAGTTTAATAAAGATAGGTAGAAGTTTCACTCAATTTGGTTTTTTTTGAGAAAATTTTGTATACTTAAAATATTTAAATTTGTTATTTTTTCTTTAAATTTTCTTAATATTGAATTTGCAAATGGAAGAATAGAATTTTGGTGATTGAATAATATTTTAATAGTAGATAAATTTGTAGTAAAAATAGACTATAGATTGTTGAAACTTAACATAGATGAATTAAATTAATTTTTTTTATTGATTGATTAGAGTGAATGAACTTAAAATATCAATATAGTTAGATTTAAACTTATAAATAAAATTAATTAAAATAAGTTAACCATTATAAAATTTTATATCTAAATTATAAGCTATCTAATTAAAAAAGTTAATTTTAATGTACACTAGTATAAACCTCTCAAAGTATTAGACAAAGATATTATAACAATGTAGCCATGCAGTGAGTACAAGCAAGGCAATTGCTTCACTAAGTCTTCAATATATTTACAAAAGATGTCAAAAATAAGGAATTCAAGAGATATGAAATTTGATTAAGTGTAGACAATATTTATTAAAAAGAATTTTGATAGTGGTCTAAATCTTACAACCATCAATGATTAAAAGATGTTTGATGGTTATACTACAGAAGAAATTTCTACTTACTTTTGCAGGACATCCAAAGTAAAGACATAGGAGGTTTGAAATTTTATTAAGAATAAAAAATAAAATTGATGCAAAACTTCTATATAATTGTAGCGACATCTTATAGAGCTGCTGGTATTATGACATAATCTTTACCTTTATACTTCAAATTGGTTCCAATCATAATTCAAAAGTTGAAATTTGGAGTGACAATTTTGTTATAGTACTAAAATAAGATTTGGATATTTTATGTAATATGCTCCAAAGAGAGAGAATGCACACATGTCTTCTTTGGAATTATAAAGGTATTCTAACATCCATCTATGAACTAAAATAAACCCCTACCAGTTGAAAGACTATTCTATTATACAACAATTTTTTATCTTATAATTTAATTATATGAGGTTATTATTCAAAGTTCTTACTAAAGAATCTTTTAAGCTCTTTAAACTAACTCCCTTAATTATTGACAAATCACAATTAATTATTCATGTAATTTAAATAAGTTTTCTATTAGTAAATAAGTTTTTTATTTTTTATTTTTTATTTTTATTAATTTTCATCCATCAATAAACATTCATTCAAGTACAATTTATCATCTAGTAATGGATTTTCATCCTTAAATGAGTTTTCATCTAACAATGAGATCTCATCCAAAACTATTATTCGTCCACCAATTTTCATCTAATTTGAACCTAGATTCATCCTAGTTGACCCAAATTCATCCTGATATAATTTTATTCAAACTAAAATTTCAACAATATAATCTTGGTAGATCTTGCCTAATTCTCGATGTTGATTGGTATTGATTGGAAATGATATGCATAGCATTTGAGCTTCGCAGCATCGATGATAGACAACCCAAGCACACTAAAGTCGTCAATCACTACCGCAGATTGCGACATCTAGAAAGGATGAAACACCAACTTAATTGCCTAAATGAACATAAGCCGCCGAATGCCGAGTAACATTGTTACTGCTTTACCCAACGACGACGTTGACAATGAGATTCCAACAGCCGCTCCGAATACAACGTGAGCCTCTCTGAGCGAAGATGATGACCTGTGCTTGGAAGCTATTGATGAGCGTTTGGAATTGCTAAAGCGGGGCCACAAGGAATGTTGATGACGGAAGATGCAACCCGCGGCTGCCACTCTCAACAAGGCTGTTGACAAGAGCACTGCACAAAGCCTTGCACACCTCACACAAATCCAGCAGCTCTAAAAAAAAAAAAAAAAAAAAAAAAAGACAAGGTAAGCGCAGCAATATTGAGCAGCGCCACCAGGGGGAGCAAGAAAAAATTGCAACTAGAGAATGACCACACTGTTCCTCCGCAATGCAAAAATCAGGGGTCGGCTGCACTAATGCCACAGAATCAATAGACCCCAATCGCATACACTATCCAGCAACACTCTGGAACCGTACCTCTGCACGTAGGAACTGCCACAACGCCACTGAACTAAATCTTCGAGGAAATGAGCGGCAACAAAACTAAATGCAACCAGTAGATGGCCAAAACTTCGCCACAGCATCGCAGCCCAGCAACAAGGTGAATTGACTCTCGACATGCTGCAGCTCCAATCACCACAAGACCGTGGGAAACTATAGCAAGGAGATTTTGTCCAAAGACAAGAACCACAAGTTCCTCCACCATCATAATTCGAACCTCCCTAAATCAGGAATCTAAATCCAAGAAGTACCGCCGCTGTTTTCCCTGATCCACGAGGAAGGAAGCAATCTAAACAATGTCGGCCGTAGTGCCAACCTCTCCGCCCACAATGATGTGACTAGGGGAAACGAAGGGCAACATGAACAACGTCGTTGCACGCCACTTCCGAACAACAAAGGAGAGAGGAACAGAGCAGAAATGAAAAATAAAAATGGGAATGAAACTACAAAACGAGAATCGGGTAGGAGTTGTTAACCAATACCGCCACCAACGGGGAAAAGAGCCAACAATGTTGAAAGGAAAAGAAAACAAGCAGCCGCACCACCACGATATTCCAGCCGCAACATCCGATTAGTTCACTCGTGCGTCGCCGAAGTCCAACGTCGAGAAGGGAGAGGTAGTATTATCCACACGACATTGCCACCTTCTTTAAAGTTGCGCCGCCGACGAAGAAGGTGGATCTGCAACCGATCTTAGCACTGTCCACTACAGCCAAAATGGGAGTCATTGTAGAAGAACAAAACATCAGCTTGCGGCACCTTGCCAATCGAACCCACAAGCTACACAGCCCAGCTCTTGGCCGCCAGCACCACTAGCATCGCAACAAGGAAAAAAACGAGGACTTCTTGCTCCAGCCGCAGGAACCAAAACAAAAACAAATTGCACCGCAATTGGCGGAACTCTGCGATCAGAAAAAAAACATGGAGAGAGAGGCCGAGCTGTGCCGGATCCCTGTCCACTCCCAGCAACCCCCGTAAGTTGGGCTTCCTTCCGGTATCTGGTATGCAATCCGTATAATACCCGGTCCCATATGGTATCCAATCCATATACAATACCCGGCATCTTTCTAGAATCATTTGGATACCATAAAGGTACCCGAAAGGATGCCCAAGATGCCTAAACAATATCCTTTTGAAATTGAGATTTTATCCAAGAATTCCTACAATTGAATTGCATTTGATTTTTGCACTAACATTTCCTTTTATTCACATTTCCTAAGCTAATATTTACCTTAGACTAGTGATTTGGGCACTGTGAGAGCAAATTTTTGTTCTAATACTATCATTGAATCAATTTGATGACTTACCATCTCATATTTCACCATCAAGTACAAACAAAATGCTTTGGCAGGACAAATAAGACAAATTTAGGAAAAGACATAGTTAAAAAAATGTGAAAGAAGATAGCAACCAAAGAGTAGTTTTTTTGCTATCACAATCTAGGGTCCATAGAAGCTTGGTGTTTTAGACATACATATTTACCTCAATAGTTAGTTATAAGATTAAGTAGAAGTAGGTAAAATAGAATAATTTCATAAAGTCTTCTAGAGTAGCTTTTTAGAAGCTTCATAGACGCACTTTTGACTTTAGATGTGTTTGTAGGTTAGAAACTTGGCCAAAAAGCTAACCATGTATTGGTAGCTTGTAGAACAAGTTATCTCCGTGTAGTAGCTTGTGGAAGAAGCCAACTACGTGGTACATACATAGATAACTTGCCTTGCAAGATAAGACATGTGGCTAGGAAAGTCAACACATGTTGGAGGTCCTATAGGACATCGCCACATAGCTCTTAGTTAGATAGTATATATGGAGGCAAGAGTGAAGCCTTCTCTACTCTTGTCAATGCCTTTCTAGTCTTAGTCTTGTTTCAAGTCTTTCTAGTCTTCTTGTTTTTGGCAATAGCCATTCTAGTTAATATTATATTACCTTCTGAGTGACTTTCTAGTTCTCTTCAGTGATAGAAGAGTGTATTGAGGATTCTCTTTCTTCGAGATTCATATCCTTGACACTTGGTTGAGGATAATTTAAGCTTGTTTCCTTGAATAAAATAGATGTAAAATAAATGCATTAGTTAGAAACAACCAATGAGATTATTTTTTGACATCAAAATCTATTCTCGCAAGGTTGTAATTTGGAGAAAGTGGTAAGTGAGATTGTAATCTCTTAGGATTGGAAGTTTGCATATGTTGTCGAGTTATGTGAAATTTTGCTTGGGAATGCTTCAAATACTTGAATGTAGAAGACAAATTAAAAATTGCAACAATAAGGTCCTAACAACTCTAATAGAATCCTAAATAAATTCCAATTAAAGTTAAATAATCATAATCAAATCTTAATTAAATCTCAAAAAAGTCTTGAAAAATATTAAAGAAATATAAAAAAATCTTTAAAAAATCTTTAAAAAACCATAAAAAGTTTATAAAAAATCTTTAAAATATAAAAAATAGAAATCATATATAAATAATAAATAAATTATAAATAAATTTATATCAAATCTTAAATAGATTTTAATAAAATTTTAATCAAATTCTTATTAAATCATGATCAAATCTTAAATTCTTAATTAAATTCTAAAAAACATTTAAAGTCTTAAAAAATCCTAATAAAATTCCAAATCCTAAACCAAATATTAATAAAATCCTAATAAAATCTTAAATTCAAAATAAATCCTTAACAAATTCAATAGCCAATTAAAAATTTTAATAATAAATAATCTAATTCTAATACTTGATTTAAAATTTATAAAATTTTCAATTATATAGTTGAAGAAGATCAACTTTACTAAATAAAAGATAATATCCATAATTTACTTGGATATTAGCTAACATCCTTCTCTATTCTAGATATTAATCTCATAGTACCAATATCTCTTGATTTCACTATCCAGTTTCTCTCAAAAAAATTCTATTTGTTTTAAATTAAGTCTATTAGTAATTTTTCAAATATAATCTCAATTTAATTGGAAGATTACTAAAAATCTTACAAACCCTCAATGATCTTGTAAAGTCCAATTTTGAGACCTTAATACTTTTAAATTTTAATAACCTTCAAATGAATTATTTAATTGAACTCAAACTTATAACACAAAGACAAGTAAGCTTTAATCACATATTTAAAAATATTTACTTATAGATCATCTATTAATCTCATAGAATTTTTTAAATTATAAATTCTTTATATTTTTTTAAATCTAAAGTTGAGAGTGAAAAATTCACTCTTCAATCCATATTACAAAATGGCCTCAATTAAGAATTGCTCGTAATTGGTGGTATGAAATAGAAGTAGCAAGAACAAGAATAAAAGAAGATCAATACAAAAAAAAGTGAAACAAGTGCAATCAAGCAATTTACACTACAAAACTAATCATAGTCTGTTAATTGAATTTTTATCCAATAAAAAATAAAAAATAAAAATAAAAAAATATTTTTAAAAATATAATTTTATATATTTCTAATGGTATAAGAAACATGTAAATCCGAATTACTATGAGTAAGTTATGAAGGTTTGAAAATAATAAATAAATAAATAAAAAATCAAGTAAATAATTTTTTTCTCTAGGATAACTAATTTAAGAGATCAAAAGTTCAAGCCTCACCAAGGCTCACAATTAGTGTATATGAGTGTTTAAGAGAGGCCAAGAGGCCTTTCTCTTATCCTCCTAACTACCTTCAATGTACTACAATCCATATGGAATTTGTGCATCTTCTTTCTTACAAGGATTACATTAGCTACTGATATTCCTATTTTCTATTAGTAAAACCAATACTTGTGTATTTCTAGCTTCTTTATGGTATTTAAAAACATCCAATTAGCTTAAGAACTTTGAGTGGCCTCAAATCTTGCTCCATTTCTTCATAATGGCTTTCAAAGTGGTAAAATCTTAGAAATTATTCTAAAAAATCCAAAAAAATCTAAATAAATTCTAAATAAATTTAATTTTTTTTTATAATGATTCTATAATACTAATATCCATTTAAGGCTATAATTTCTTCTCTTATGATTTTTTTATAGTAATAAAAACAATTTAAATCTATTATAAATGTTACTTTCTCATACTTCTTCTAGCTATTAGTTAACATTTATAGTTTTTTTTATAAATAATATATATGGATAGAAGGCCAATATAAATTTTGATCTTAGTAAATAATCTTCAATACTCAACAATAAGTAAAAAATACTAAACCAATTAAGATAATTACCTCCAAGACTTACTAAGACTCCATTTCTTTAATTAACATTTTAATTTTTTATTTGTCTAAATATTTCTATATTATTCACTATATATTGTGGTTTTAAGGACTCTAAATGTATTATTTTATCTTAAAAAAACTAGTGAGTCAATTTAGTATCAAAGACATGAACTAAAAGAAGATGCATAAACTTGGAAAATTAATGTTGAAAGAAAAGTGACAAAATAGAAATAAAGTAGTATGTATATTAAAAAAGAAATTAGAATGGCTATTGCCAAAAGACAAGAAAATTGGAGACTCTTAAATCTAGACTAGAAGCAAAAAAGGGATTGATAATAGTGAAGAGGGCTTCATTCTTGCCTCTATTTATACTATCTAATTAAGACCTATGTGATAATGTTCTATAGGATCTAATATGTGTTGACTTTATGGGACACATGCCTCAGCTTGCAAGGCAAGTTTTCTACGTGTGGACTTCATAATTAGCTTGTTCTTCAAGCTACCAACATATGTGGCACATGGCCAACTTGTTGACCACGTTTTTAACCTAAAAAGTCAATTAAATATACTTATAAAGTCAAAGCAACATCTATGAAGCTTCTAAGAAGCTATTGTAGAAGATATTATAGAATTAACTTACTTTTACCTATTTTTATGTAAATCACATTGATAATTATTGGTTTACATGTATATATCCATGACATTATTCCCTCTTCTAGGGACGAGTTTCACAAGGAGTAGTCTTCATATATTGAAGAAATCCAAGATATAGCAAATTATATTTACCACATATTCCAATTTTTGTTTTCTTCGAAGATAGTTGAGAGGCCCTCTTAAGCAACGATGGTGTTTCATATTAAGGTGGAAAGACCACCCTATCATTTGGTTGTTGTTGAAGCCTTCATAACTTCCTTCAAATAAAACATTTGGAATATTGTCAAAAATTGTTCCTACCTATAATAAAATCACCAAACATCGAGAGTCTCTTCCAAGGTCGTGATACCAAATACATTATATCTCGCTGTCTATTTGAGAAAAGATATGTCGTTCTTGAGGATCTTCATCTTGATTTCATTGTCTTCAAGGTTGTGACAATCACAATAACTCATCTAGTAAGTTTGCAAATGAAAGCTCTTGAATTGAATCTACTCATTATTGGTTCTTTATCTCCTTAGCGTCACAAATATACAAAAGCTACATAGAAAGATAGAAGGTAGAATGTAATCTTTCCTAAACCTTGTTGCTTTTATAGTAAAAGATTTACTATTCTTTATCTTAATTTAGATACATGTTGTCAATAAAAAGCCTCCACTGCCTTTGCTAAAATTATAAGATTCTTTATTGGTTCTTATGTACATTCACTAATATCATATCCATACAAATGGACAAAATATTCCAATTTATTTCGGCACTACCTTGAGTCCAAAACTTCCTCCACTTCAAACTTTTCATTATTGTCTACTTCTATAGGAGGAGATAGAGCTTGTCTTCTTTTTGGTATGTTCATAGTCTTGTATGGTTCAAGAAGAGATACGTAGAAGACAAGATGGATCTTTATAGCCTCCAATAGATATAATCGATAAGAAACTAGATTGATTTATCCACAAATAAGAAAAGGTCCAAGCCTTCAGTAGTCCAACTTATCATAAGAATGAATAGTCTTGATATTACGATAAAGCAACCATATCTTGTCACCTACATTGAATGTGATTGTTTCTTTTGATAAGCATCGATGTTGATCTTTTGTCATTCTTGAGCTTTCTTTAATTGCACCTT